GTAATGGCAAAAAGGGGTGGGAGGGGATTGAGTGTGTTAGCAGGAGTGTCACTGTACGGCAACCTAAAAGTCAACTTGCAAATTATATGTAGAATGTTACAACACATGGAATATTATGACGTCGTATCAGAATTTTACTGGAATAGGTAACTTTGAATGGACATTGACTGGCACCTGCAAAACTACCAGTACTGAATTGAGTTAAAGTAAATGTTAAACTGGCAGCACAGTGGCATAACTGGTAGAGCTGCTGCCTCTCAGCGAGAAGGTTGCCGCTTCAAAAATCCCAGTCCAGGGGCCCTTCTGGGTGGAGTTTACATGTTCTCTCCGTGCATGCGTGAGTTTTCTCTGGGTACTCCGGTTTCCTCCCACATACCAAAAACATGCATGTTAGGCTAATTGGTAACTCTAAAGGCTCCAGTATACTTGCGCAGACCTTTTTCCGCGCAGACTCGACGCGCACTGTCCGCAGAGGGTTGAGACTTCATACTCGAGCGTCCACCTTGAGCGGCTGCAGACCAGTTCTGCAGGCAAGGGGCGTTTATTGGTGTTGCATACAAAACAGTCCATCGCTGGGCAGTTTATTGTGCGACACAAAGTATGCGTACGCGGTCGTAAAAGTTGAGCTTTGCATGGACATGCCCTGCGGGCATCCACTTCGAGTCTAATCCAGTACACGCAGACCTCCGCGGACTGATGTACGCCCGACTATACTGGAGCCTTAAATTGTCCCTAGGTGAGAGTGTGAATGGTTGTTAGTCTCTATGACTTGCGACCTGTCCAGGGTGTACCCTGCCTCTCACACAGTGATGGCTGGACATGGGCACCAGTGACCCCCGTGACCGAAGGAAAAAGGAAGAAGCGGGTAAAAGATAATGGATGGATGGATAAATCTTAAACTTCAACAAGATGGAAATCGTCCTACAAGACCAAAACCCTCCAATGTAAAAGTATTATATTCAAAGTGTTTAAACTACTTGATAAAACAACAAAAAAGGTTAAATCATATCATCTGGACCAGTTTATTTAAGTGAGAAACATTTCATACCCCATCCGGAGGACTTTGTCAGTCTACGGCCTGCCAACCAGATCTGTCCCATAAGTAGCCTTCATTGCTACATTTCAAGCCAACCTCCTGTTGGAATCTCAGAAGTACGATTTTAACACGTGTAAACAGAGCACAACCATCTAAAACAATCAATCATCATGAACAGTAATCAAATGTTCTAGGCCAACTTGCTACTCACAGAAACAGCCTGTCCAGATGGGAGACGAAATGTTTCTCACTTAAAGAAACTGAACAGCAAATCGCAATATATTGTTAATGTATCAATTTATAACAAGCTTTACAAAATATGGTAGCTGAGCATCTACAGCTTCAGGTATTTATTTATTTATTTTTTATAAACTCAGGTCATTGACTGGTCAGTGAACTGAGTTTATGGAAAAAAGGATAAACATAAATATCACTATGCCGCCAAACAGAGATAACTTATTTTTTGTACAAATTAAACTTAAAGAGAACACACAAATTGCTAACAGCTGCTGAATTAATAGTTCTTCACACACAAAGATTACTCAATTTCTATGATGTACAAATCATTTACATATTTGAGTAATGGACTTTAACTGCATTTGACTTATGGTTTCATCAGACTTCAACTATCTTTTGTTTTCTTTATGGGTATAAATCTAAAGCCAGGCAGACTCAGACTGCCTACAGTAAAACACTCATCTGGGATTAGGAGCCATTTATTCATCTCAGCTCAGTAATACTATGAAAGCCTCGCTTCAGAATTCAATGAATATTTCACACTTTCATTTTATATTCAATCTTTGGTGCTCACAAGTGTGCATTGCTTCGTATCATTCTGTAAATGTGGTTTGTGAGTGTGTGTGTTCATGTGTTAGTGTTTCAGTCTTTTTATTCACTACATATGTGTGTTTATGGGAATTACTTTGTTCATTTGATCTGGGTATTGAAATGTGTATGTTTTTTTTTTAAGAATGAAGTGCCTTTATGGGATTTTTTTGTGCTGCATTGAAGATTTCATCAAGTCTTTAGAGAATTGTCACTGAATTTAAAAGATGTGATATTTTGAAGGAGAGACAACATTCAGGACAAAGCAGAAAACAACAACAATAAAAAAAAAAATAAAAAAAAAAATATATATATATATATATAAACTACTACTTCACAGTTTTTCACTTATTGCAAGGCTTCAGGGTATGGCTCCCTTGCAATAAGCAAGGGACTATTGTGGTCCCACGCTACTTTGTGGTTCAACTTTTGCAAACTCGCTCTTTCGCGGTTTTTCATCATAAGATTGTACACAACATACGATTGTCAACTTTAATAATACGTGATTGGGACAATATGGGATAAAAAGTTAACAAAAAATACTTTGGACATGTGCTGACATTTTGTAGTTTTCTTTCAATAAGCCTACACTGTAACGTCAGTCAAAAGAACTACACTACCCAGAAGCCAACAGTGCTTCCAGCTGCTGATTTCTGTCAAAATGGAGGGAAAGATCTGCAACGCAAAGTCAGAAGTAACGAGCGATCTATTAAGCTCACAGAACTGGCAGGAAAGTCGCAAATAATCCTGAAGCTTCCTGAAGCTGAATTACCCACACGTTCATCAACCTGGACGGGGCGGTGGGCTTCATCGCTGCAGGGTACGTCTACAGAACCGGAACCAAGCCTGACCAGAACAGAGCTGCTGGTCTGCAGAGCTGGTGAGTAAAACTTTTCAGTACTGTATGTGCATATACATACGTTGTTAAAATTACATAGGTTTAAGTGTTTAGAACATTGCAAGAGTGTGGGAAGGGTTTATAAAGCCTTAAAATGTGTATATAAATATATAAATACTACTATAAACACAGTGTTCCTACTTTGGGGTTTTTCACCTATCGTGGTGGTGTGTGGAACGCAACCCCCACGATAATCGAGGGACTACTGTAGTTGTTAATGCAATGTTTACTTAGACAATAGTTATTTGTGCAATTCATTAAATATTATTTTCTTCCCCTTTACTACAAATAAATAGTCAGCAAAACATTTCAAGGGTCATCTACCTCAACAATAAGCAAGAACTTTCAGGGACAAAATACTTCATTCAGTCGTCAAATAAATTTACTGCATGAATTTTAACAGATAGTTATAATTAGAACATGGACAGCTCTTTTTATTTTAACATGTGGCTTAGTAAATGTATTTAGACATTCAAAAAAAATTATAAGATCCTATTTTTTACACAAATCAGTTCTTGGACGATAGTGAATCGGATCAAACACATCTCATTCTTTTCCATGCAATATTTTGTAGCAACAAGACTAACGCAGTAAAGTATACAACTTTATGGTTTCTCTGCTCACTGGTGGAGCTCCACAATGGATTATGTTTACGTTAAAGCATTGCAAATTAGTTTGCAGTGGCACAAGGCAAGTGACAATCAGCCAACAGCAGGACCAGTCAACAATGCTTTCTGAAACACTTTGAAACCATGGCAACAGGCTCTCCTTATATTAATCTCCTAGGTCAGCTGCTGGTCTCCTGGCTCTTATTGCGCTTCTTACCAATTCATGTGGTCCATAAGCTTTGGCTTATGTCACTAGCGCTTTTGACAAATAATCAGATTTTTCTGAAAAGGTCATGTGTGAATAATATTTCTCTACAGCTGAGATATATCTCATTAGCCATAGCTTGGGGCGAGATCAGTGATACTATTTTTTTTTAGAAGAAAGCCCTCAATATGTATGCAGTGAACAATTCTAAACAGTTTTCATCCAGCTGTGACTAAACTCTCAAAAAATAAATGATTTGTTGATTACAAAAAAAAAAAAAACAGATAATGGATGTGACATTAAGAGGGGAACAAAGGCTTGAATCCTGATTAACAAGAAATAAAGGAGCTTTAGGCTTCATGAGAAATTTCAACTTTAGCAACTTTGTTATTAATTAGTGCTGATGATTTCCTAGAACTTCCGTAGATTTACACATCCCTTAAGGTATACAGCTAAAGACAGAGTGATATTCTGCACATAATATTTTGGAGCCACCTGGTTATTCAGCCTTTTATTTTTTTTTTAGAAGTGACCTAAATGAAAAATTCAGTTCACCACAGGACATAGGCTCATTAAAACGTGTTGATACTGTTTTAATGTGAAGAGCCACCCAGAGACTTTCGTTTAATGCCCTAAGCCATAGCTCAAAACGCCTTAATCAATACTATTTATCATATTTTTATAATGTCAAATTCTTTTGACAGTTTTCAAAAAGTAGGCTTTTGTTAAAGGGTAAAGGTATGTTTGAAAAATGCCACATTGCTTGGGGGAGAAACACAAAAACTGTGAATCTATGAATAAGGTTTGCCAAAAGTAAATAGTTAATAACAGTGCCTATTGCTGAAGGCAAGTTAAAACATTTAGATTTAAATTTTTGCAAGAGAGGCAATATCCTATCCCAGAAAATGACTTATAGGCCACTGCAGCTCAATGAGCTAAAGTGGAAACACGCACACATTTACACTTCAACACATAAAAACACTGCTAGCTGCACATATTTATATATAAACTTTTTTATGAATAGTGCATTAAGCAGCAACAGATTAACTACTCAACGTGGAGACTTTAAAAGTACTTTGTATGCATTTTAGAAGCAAATAAAAAATTTAACGAAAGATGGATAAATACAGTGATTATTTAAATTTGTGTAGAGCACAAAAGTTACTTGGCATAGGTATGATGGTTAATTATGCATGACAGTTATCAGTTCAGTCCCAATCCTTTAGAATACAGAGCTTTTAATTTAAGGTTACCAAATGCTAACCTTACAGGTTGGTTTTACATTGTAGATAAATTGCTGATCAATGTTAAAATCTTTGACTCCTTCATTGTATCAAAGAAGACAACGTCCATCACTTTCAAGAAAGTATCACACTAAAAGCAGAAAGAAAGGACAACCACATTTCTCCCGGGTCTAGACATTTTTACCTTGTCTTTGTCTTCAACCAGGTCACTGAGTACATCATCAGGGTCCAGAATACCCCCATCACAGTATTCTACATGGTGAGTCCGAACCAGGAACTCTCCTTCCTATAACACAATACAAAACAATTAAAAATTAGTCATTTGTAAATAAACCTACGAGCTAGGGATGCAAGATAATGGATTTTAGACCGATATCCGATATGTTAAAATTTATTTGGCCACTAACCGATACCAATAACGATATTTTTCCCCTACACCTACTTACTGAGATTACATAGCTTTCTCTGCTGTAGAATTAAAATACTACATTATTCTGCATGGTCTTTGTCAGTTTGGTCTGCTACCAAATGAAGATCCAAAAAGGGTCTGAAAATGATGTAACACTTCAACTTGGATTATATTTAATGTCAAATTTATTCATGACATTTACTCTCTCCAACACAATGACAACGCTCGAACAGTGCAAATTTGTAAATTTTCACAAATCTAAACCCAACCTGTTCACAAGCAATAAGTGAAAAGTGCATAAATAGTGCATTAATAGATATACTTGACAGTTTCTTTAAAAAATGTACTTAAAACAGAAGCTTTTTACATATGTGAACTTTTTGATGGAATGTCCGATATTTAAATTTATCGCCAATATCGGCCGATACCAATATCATACCGATAATATCGTGCATCCCTACTATGAGCTCTATTTTTAACAAATTTAGGCTCAAAGAAATGTTTATTCATTTACTTATGTGTTTGTTTTTAATCACAGTTATGAGCAAGTCACAAAGCTGATTGTTCTTGTAAGGATCTTGGAAGGCATCAAATAATGGGAAAATCTAGGTTTCAATTTACGTAAACAAGTTCTGTGCTACATTTGATACATTCAACCACAAGCCTAAAAACAGAATGAGATGTGTTAAACTTTTAAATGGATTTCTTTGTATAAAACAGGGACTGCTTTGTGTTAGTTAGAAATTACACAACTGAGAAAAATGCAACTTAACTACCCCAAGGATGCGCTTGTCTGTTCAGTATCTATTTAATCTAACATCCTTATGGAGAACAGTTAACCACAAAATGACTTGTTTCAGAGAAGAAGAAAAAAATCTTTATCTGTACTTAAAAGACACAACTTCTTGGAAAGAGAAAGTTGAAGTAAAGCTGAATATCTTACTCTACCTTCGCAAACGAGCAGCAATAAAAAGAAGTGTCAATTCATGGTGATAAAGCACGCATTTGTAATGTACTTCATCACATTTTGAACAAAACATCACAGACATTGTATTAAGGCCTCAGGAAATTGAGTCAGCTTTTGAAAACAAGAGGATAATATGTTTTCATTGTAAGAGAATCAAGTCAAAGTGTATGCCAGTGATAAACAATGCGTTCTACTGCCCACAAACTCCTTTATGCTTCTCATTTATAAACTCTTCTCCTACCAAATGTCCTCCTTCTCTCATATTTTCCCTCTCCTTTGTTTTTCTACAGCACATCTTCCACATCTTTCACTAGGTGCCTTGTATAGATTACAGCTCTCGCCTGGCCCATTCTCCTTTCCTCCTAACCCCCTTCCTCTGCTGTGTTGGGTCTGTGATTAATGACAACGACACTGTACTAGACAGCTGACTACACAGAGTTGGCTGTTGAACAACATATTAAGACAACGGCGCACTAACACATACACCCTCATACAAAACACACAGCCTCAGGAAAGGTATCCATCAAAACATTACAGAGAGGTTCTTCATTAAATCATTCTTTCAGGGTCAGATGCAGTGGAAGGGACAAGGCACTCTGTATTCCTGTACATCCCTCTAAAAGCCAGTTCATACAAAACAGGTTTTGGATGAACTAACTGAATTCCTTTCTGCCAAATGGATTCAAAATAACAAATATAAAAAAATAGAATGGCTACTTTATTGATTTACTGGTTCTGCTTTGCACCCTTTGTCATGTGTACTGTGTTTCAATTATACATATAACGTATATAAATGAATGACAAATAGCACGGGAAGAAGTAGGGGTTGCCTTGGTGACGTGCCTATTCTGAAGGTGAAGCAACGTGGCTATGTTCGTGTGAAAACAAAGACGATCTAGATCTATGAACAATCTTTGTTCTGCAATCTAATTATTCTTTATTGCCCCCTGTTGTTATCAAATGTATACATACAGTATATTAAAGAAATGACAAGTTTTGCACTTCTACATTGTTATCAGAGAGAGCTTACATACAAATAGAGATGAGGTGCTGCTTCAAGTGGAGGAGTTTACCAGTAAGTATCTCTGGGTTCTATTTAAGAAAAAGGGAAGAGTGGGGTGGGAGATCAACAGAAGTATTAGTGTAGTTTACTCAGTATTGCATACTCTGTGTCTGTTGGTTGTGGTGGAGACGGAGCTGAGTTGCAAGAAGAAACTGTTTACCAGTCAGTCTATATTCCAACTATCACCTATGGTTACAAACACTGAAAAAATGAAACTGTTGATACAAGTGAAGAGTTCTCCACAGGGTAGCTGGACTCTCCGTTAGAGATAGGGTGAGAAGCTCAGTTACATGGGAGAGACCCAGCATAAACCTGCTGCACCTCTACATCAAGATGAGCCAATTGAGATGGTTTGGGTATCTGGTATAGATTTCTCCTGGATGCCTCCCTAGGGAGGTTTTTCAGGCATGTCCAACTGAGAAGAGACCCCAGGGAAGACCAAAGATGTGCTGAAGGAACTATGTCTCTCGGCTGGCCTGGGAATGCCTCGGAGTCCTCCCAGAAGAGCTGTAAGAGGTGGTTGTAGAAAGATTTGTCTAGCCTACCAGCCCAAGTTGCTTCCCTCGTGACCTGGCCTCGGCCGAAGTGGGAGATAATGGATGGATGGAGCGCATACAATACCTAAGATGTAATAAACTTGTGGGCCTTCATGTTAATTTACAAAAGGTTCCAGATTTTAAAAGAACAAGCTGTTGGACAAATTTAGACTCCCATTCACTACTAGTTATGTGTCAGTCTTCAGCTACTTGTCACAATAAAAACAGAAGTCTGTAACATTTTTTTTCTCATCTGGCTGCTCTCTTCCTCAGCTGCAAACTCGCAGGAAGACTTGGCAATTGTTTTTACGCCAGATGCCCTTCCTGACAACAACCACAGACCACAGAGCTACCATAGCCCTCTGTGTGGAGCAGAGAGCAGCCATCTAGGGCACCCAGGAGACCAGATGGTGGGGGTTAAGGGCATTGCGCAAGGACCCAGAGTGGGGTAATGAGGGTGGAGGCAGGTGTGGGTGCTTCACCTTTCCTACCCACATTTTGATGTTGCTGGCCTGGGGGATCGAACCGGCAACATTCCGATCACAGGCTTGCCTTCTCTACCCTCTGTGCCACGTCTGTAACTATCTCCAGCAAAATCCCGACTTCTTGCAATTTGACACGAATATACAAGTTCAAAGAAACTTATGGGAAAAAGAAAATATCTATAAACAATTATTCACAAAAAAACCAAACATAAATTAGTTAATTATTCTGTCTTCTTAGCACCATCATCCATGTACCAGGGAAAAAAAAAAAAAAAAAAAAAAACACTTAAAAATTGTGTTGTAACAGAAGGTATTTACATTACACCAACACCCACATTCCTTTGGTGACCTGCAGCTGTTTTGGGGCCATCAACAACTCATTTTGTTTCCTTGTTACTGCAGGAAAGACATGAATCAACAAGGCCAGATGATAAGGATTTATACAGATTAGAGCTGTGAGCAAACAGATTTAAATTAATAATGTGTTAGTCAGAAATCCTGTCCCTCCAGACCTGGCAAGTTATAAACATAACGGAGAAACCATAGCTATAATAAAATCTTAGAGTTGTAAACACAGTCATCTAATCTAAAAAGCAGGGCAATTAATAATAATACGATGATGTGCTTTGCATTACGACAGTTTAGGTATTTTGTGATTTAGAAATTATTGTAAAGCTGGAGTTTTTCTAGTCAGTCAGATATGCTCTTGATATGTGCATGCTGAGGTGGCGCAACTGGTAGAGCTGCTGCCTCTCAGCGAGCAGGTCCCTGGTTCATATCCTGGACCGGGGGCCTTTCTGGGTGGAGTTTGCATGTTCTCTCCGTGCATGCGTGGGTTTTCTCTGTGTACTCCGGTTTCCTCCCACAGACCAAAAACATGCATGTTAGGCTGATTGATAACTCTGAATTGTCCCTAGGTGTGAGTGAGAGAGTGAATGGTTGTTTGTCTCGTTTGTCTCTATGTGTCCCTGTGATGAACTTGCGACCCGTCCAGGGTGTACCCCGCCCCTCGCACAGTGATTGCTGGACATGGGCACCGGCGACCCCCGTGACCCAAAATGGAAGAAGCGGGTAAAGATAATGGATGGGATGGAAGGATGTGCATGCTGCATTTTAAAGTACAATTAAATAATTAAATGTACATCTGGTGGCATCATTCAATATTATATTGTTTTCAATTAAAAATAAGATTAAAAATTTGAAAACAATTCTGCATTTTTTTTAGAAGCGACATGGACATTTGTATTTGCTTTATGTTGCTGTATATATAACTTTTGGTTTTGTAACAGTTAATCAGGAATGCTGTCACATAAATTGGGTTCCAAAGTGCTTTTGTCAAGCAAATGAAAACGTTTATTTAAAAGCGTTTGTCATTTGAAATGAGTTATCAAAAAGCCCCCAATCATTGTGAAATAGGCTCGTAAACCACTTCAAAGCGTCTCATTTCCAACGTGGTCATCACTTTGAAAGAGAACATGAACCATTATACCTTACCTAAGTCAACAGCAAAAAAAAAAAAAACGGAATGAGCAAATCAACACATTCCTGTGGTTCGTCCTAAGTGAAGGAGGCACGTGCCTCCTCCTGGCCTCTCCCTCAACAAATGCCTGTGAACTGGCATGGAGCCAGAGTGTCTTACAACTTTATAACGCTGTTCCATGTTTGCTCAGTGTTATTCTCATCTATATAGAAATTAAAGTATACACACATGCCTGCATAACTGTGCACCAGCAAACTGACATATGTTATGAGTATTTCAAGAAAATGCCCTTCACTAATAAGATGTTTTATGGTTTGCTTACATGTCCTGGATATGTCAGCAAGTT